CCAGTGCTGGCTGCATAGTGAATTCCCTCAGCACCACATAAGTGCATCAATTCAACGTCTGATCTCACAAACCTGATCAAAACCCCGAGAATCCTACCAAACAGGATCCTAGTCGCTAACAGGGAGAATTTTGCCTATAAATGAAGACATGAAATGCCTGGCCCGAGGATCGAACCGGAGACCTCCAACGCTACATATCGTTCATAGCAGATTCCAAGCAGCACTTCTCCCTCGTCCACTTCCTTTTGGACCGACTCTCGTTGGCGTCTTTCTCGAGGGTCTCGAACTCATTCCATCCCCTTGTATGTACCAGATGACCGAACACTAGTCGCTTCACATTCTCTGCTGCGAAGTCCCCTGAAGAGAATATCAACCGCACAATATGGCTCAGAAGCACTCAGTCGCGAAGTCTCTACGTCATTGAGAGCACTTCGGTAACCGAAACCCGGACAAGAGCCTGGTTCGATCCCCATCATGCCCATCACACCTGCTGTGCCATCAAACAGGCCAAAACCACAAGCTCCAGTCGACCCAAGGCTCGGGCATATTGTGAATCGGTCCTCCTGTGTTCGCCGTCCTCCAATATGGGTAAAAGCCGAGACTTCAAATGCCGTCCCTGGGATTCGAACCGAAGACATCATGTCGTGCTGGATGGAAGGGTTCATAAGCGACCCTTCAAATTCAACACGAAAACTGCCAAACAAGTTCCTTCCTTCCCCATAACAACGCGAACCGTCCTCTCAGAATGAACTCATCACTTGATGTTGAGCTTGAAGGATATATCTCATGCTAAACTTACGTAATCAGCTCACATTATGTGAAACACGCAATGCCGTGAGGAGTTCACGTTGTATGAGCTTCAAGACCATGTTCCAGCCGACAGGGTCAAGTTGCTGACTACGTACGCAGAGGCGACTCTTTATTAACTACTCCTTTTGAAGTGCTTGATACACTTCGTATGTCGAGGGGAACTCCGAACTAGTTCGCTGCGGGAATCAAGCACGTGCGCGTGCGGGGTAGGCCACTAAGTCAATGATGTACTCATCGAAGGGAGTTGGTCTCCAATGGCGCTAGGCGTCTGGGGAATGTTTTTGGTCCGCCCGTCCATCCCAGGATGGTCGTCCAGGTACGAGTGTCTCATCCCCCACTGGCCGATTCGCAAGCTCTTCTCACAATGTTACGCGAGGTCGCGGACGAAAACCGGGGACAAACTACTCCTGACAGCGCCCTGGAGGCTAGCGGACATTATATAACTGAATAGAATATTCGTTGAGCGGGACCAAACCGCGACAACTGAGATACTACCAATTGAAGATGGCGTATATCCTCATCAGCTTGTTGTCGCAGCTCCTGGAAGGCCCGTTCCGCCTGCTCCTTCACCTCCTCCAATTCCTCCCTCGGTACGAGGCCGCCTTTCGAAATGCGTCGACGAGGGGGCGGCAGGGTGGATTGTGTATCAATAAAAATGGGAAGTGATGGCATAGCTGCCCCAGCGAGGAAATTGATTGTACTAAGGCATATCTTGGTGTGGCATAGCTGCCCCAGCGAGGAAATTGATTGTACTAAGGCATATCTTGGTGTGGCATAGCTGCTCCAGCGGGGAAAATGATTGTACTAAGGCATATCTTGGAATGGCATAGCTGCCCCAGCGGGGAAATTGATTGTACTAAGGCATATCTTGGAATGGCGATAGCTGCCCTAGCGGGGAAATTGATTGTACTAAGGCATATCTTGGAGTGGCATAGTTGCCCCAGGGGAGAAAATAGATTACACCAAGGTATATCTAGTCCTTTTTGACAGCTTTCTTCAGCACATAATTATATATACTCGCAGTTCTACGACAAACCCCTCCAGCATAGGCGTATACTATGATGTCGGAATCACCACATGCTAACACCGCCTCCCACGCGCGAACAAGCTGGACAGCAGTAATTCCCCTCCCATGAATAGATATCCTAATCGATCGGATTTTCACCTTATCGGCGATCCCACTGATACCTTCGCCGTTGTTCGAATTGGCCGCAGTGATACCAGCCATTGCTGGACCGTGGCCGTGGCGATCCGTGTCATTCTCTCCATGTCGCCCAGTAAGGTCAATCTCCTTGAGGAGTCTCCTATCGAACTCAGGATGTTCGGCTTCAATACCGGTATCCATTAAGCTCACGATTAGTTCCCTACATTGGAGGCCCGAGTCCCACGCTATTGTATGCCAGATGTGAGAGATACTAATCGGCTCCACGAGTCGCACTTAGTTGTTCGCGCATACTAATGTAATGGGTCAGGCCGCTCTAACTTACAGCCTTCAAGGAAGACTAGTGCGGCAGGTTGAAGAAGGCTAGACGGCATAGTAATTTACTACTATGCGTTTACGTGCTACTTTCGCACGCAGACCCAAGTTCTGGTATAGATCCTTTAAACATTTCATGTTGTGTTGAACATACTAGCAGGTAGTGTTGTTCTAACGTTAGAAATTTCCAATCTACGGTTCTACATGAAGACGATGCACGCTTGTGGTTTATGTTATGGTATGGTTCCGACCTATCTTACACATATCGTAGGGTGATTCAAGGCACGCTTCACCGCATCGCATTAGTTATTGGGGAGTGTTGGGTGAGACTGAGTGTCAGCCAACTAGGCAGCAGAGGGCGGTGATAATACCGAACCTCACAACACGCCGTGCATTGGCTTAACACCACAGTCACATTGCCTAGCACGCAGGCACATAGGCAATGTCCCCCAAACAACTAGTGAAGGCAAAAGAAAAATTCCACGGTAGAACCGGCTCGAAAGGCTCCTGGACAGCCAGATTGCTGTCACTTCAGTCTCGACCGGTTGCACCACTTTCTGGTTCGGGTCGATCACAATGGCGTGCGCCACGCACGCCCGAGCGATACTTGTTACGCTTGCTTGAATTAACCCCATGCAAGCCTGGACCTTCACAGAAGCCGAAAAGTCTATAGCTATTCAGGCTTATGGCGTGCGCGCTCTGCAGTGTACGACTCGCTCTCGCCCGACCGGTTCATATACTTCTGGGGGTTGAGTCTTTGTGGTGAGGACGAAACACTACCTTGAGAGACGATTGGTGTTGAGGTAACAGACCTTAAAGTCCAACCGATCCTTCGCGACCGGCAAAATAGTCCAGTATACTCAGTTGTGGACCCTAGTTAAGGAAGGGAGCTTAGATTTAACATGGTTATTAAGTTTGTTTCCATAAGGGTTTAGGTGATTAATAACTGATCACATCAAAGTTCTTTAAAAGTCTTTACTGTGGGTTGTTATCTTCCATCTCAATGTCTGAGTCTGATCACGAAATAGAAATGCTGTCCGTTCAATCCATTGTTCGGATCTGATCAATGTATTTGACCTGTTTGCACTCAACCCCACTAACCATTGTATCATTATATCCGCCCCTGCATTGAGTTCTACTCCACCGCAAGCCTTCGACCAGCACTTCCTTTACAAAACATAGGGAATAGCGAATCGCTATTACACTTCGAACATATATCGCTATTAGCGCTGTAACGGATCTTTGTACAGTTGGGATATTCACCCTAACACTTGGAAGGCTCCCCTTAAGGAAAGCGTTAGGGTCCCTTAAAGTGGAGGTCTTCTTAAAGGGCACTAAGCAGTGGCTTCTTATAACAATTTGGAGCCTCTATTCAATGTCCTTGAGGAATGAGCCTCAGAAGCATTATGCTGGTAAGACTCAGCTTACTCATTGGTGTGAGCCAGGAGTAGGGCTTACTGATTCGATGAACACCATTCCCTGAATCGCTTAATACGAGTTCACTCAACACTTATGTGATAATGCTTTGCAGTTTTGGTATTATTTTCTTCTCCCTTATGATCAACAGTTTTCTCGAATCGCTTGAGCCTGTAGTGAGTGATAGTGAGAGTAGTGACACTGAGGAGAGACGGGTAGGGATACTCCAGATCGCAGTGATATACATTCACTGCGTATGTATAATCATAAATATTCTAAATCTTCTCATTTTACTGCAATTTTCCTTTTTTTTCATTAAGTTTTCCCTGTTCAACTCTGCCCCTTCTACGACCAGGCGGATAGGTGTGGCGCGTGTATAGGGATGTAACGCTACGTGGATAAGAATATGTACTGTTGCGTATACAACGTGAATCACGCCGGTTTATGATACTTTGGTTTGGAAATATTTCTTTCATTCCTGAGAGCAAGACTATATACTATGAAATGGTTTTAGGATGACATTTTCAATCGACTCACATTGGTATGATGCTGATTCCAATGAGAAATGAGTTTCGAATCGTCGTCTGAATCGAAGTCATCGGAAATGTGCATTTGTATCATGGCTTGGTTCAACCTGTAGGTTGAGAAGAAGCCATCATATGTACGTGTGTATGGGAGGGGAAAGATAGAGTGTGTTGAGAGGCTGCTGGTATGCACGTCTATGGCAGCTGCTATAAGGTGCGGGATTGAGGGCTTGCCTATGGAAGGTAGTAGTAGTAGGAGAGGATTGCTCATGACCTTGATGACGACGCATGGATGGTATAGATATTGTTAGAGTGAAGTTTATCGATTTGCGGTATGGTGTTCGACGTGGTAATTCAGTCGGTAGTCGTGATAGTTTGGAGGACAAATTATAACAATTCATGCGTACAAGTTGAGCTTAAAATTATAGCAAGTTATTAGCGGAATTTCACCCTTGTTACTCAAACACAAAGACATTCCGTATTTGCATTGCAAAACAATCTGCATTCGTTTAACAAATGCGCTCGTTGTAACAAATTTTGTAACAATAAGCGCATAACGTTCTGGCCCAACAGTTCATGTTGACAGGGTGTAAGGAACATACTGGTCGAATGTGTAGGTAGAAAGGCGAAGCAGTAGAGGTCAACGTGATGGCCAATCATGAGAGAATCGGTTGTTGAACTCGTAACACAGTGACGTGAATACTTCTGATGGCGCCGTATTGGGATATATCGTTATAATCTATCGTATAGAGAATAATTTTATTGTTGTTTCAATGGTCAAATGTATTTGCTTCTATTCTTTTTTTATGGACGATTTATGGTATGATGGTTATTAGGTGGAACGGATGGCTTGAGAGTTGATTATGTCCCCTCTACGTCTGATGCTGTGTTGACTGTCCCTCCTCGATGCGATGCAATGGATTTGGAAGCACTAGTATGGGATAAGCTGAGACCAAAAGAAGTGCGTGTTGTGATGACGAAGGAAGTTAGTAGCACTAGAGGGGAAGACGGCATAGTGTAATGCGGAAGGTCCCGGGTTCGATCCCTGGTAAGGATATTTTTTCAGATATGTTCTCGGTGGAAATGATCATATTTATCAACCATTACCATTAGGAGAGGCAATCGATGGATTAGTCGCTCGCATAATAACAGGGTAATATTCATCATCGTACTTTTTATGGGTGGAAAGCTGAAAAATCACCTAGAAAAAAATGACGCCGCTTTTCAGCTCCGTAGTATCTTTTCGTTTACCATCACATCTGTCTTTGCTGCTGGTAACAGTATATTGAATTTCTTACGTAACGTGGTCGCCACTGAATGGGATAAGTTGAACCATACTGCACTATTGTTATGCTACGCTTACTAGAGAGGCTCCCTTACTAGAGTTGTCTTTTGTAACTCTTTCAGTTCGATCGCCAGGAAGATCCAGATAACTGCGTTCGTGCTCTATCACGCTCCTCATTCCAGCTCCTCTGCTATCCTCAAGTTGGCTGATGCGTTGAAGACTACGGGTAAAGTTGATGGGCCGTGGTTGGTGAGAGTCGTTGTTCTCTTAGGGGAATGGAAACTCGATTTGAAGAAAGTTCGGGATGGATTCCTGAAATTGAGTCCATCGATTGACAACAGAGTTTCGGTTTATATGTGAATCGTCCGTATTGAGTTTCCGATGCAATTTGAGTTGAATTGTGAAACTTCTAACGAGCTGACCGCGGCCATGAGAATTCGTGGTCAAATGTGTGCCGTCGTCGCAGTAGTAGGTTATGTATTTCTTCCACTCAAAGCTAACTATGAAAATTCACGCATTACCATTTATGGTAGAAATGTACGCAAAGCAACAAGTTTTCACCAAAATTTTCTCGAATTATAATCAACACCTGTAGTTGAACATATACATACTTTCCCACATTGGGCCAGTTACCCGGCGTATTCATCATTCGCACTGTGAACACTTAGAGCGTCAAAATGTTCACTGTTGGTAGAGAAGTTGAGATCCACGGTCCGAACTGGATGGGGTGTTGTGGGATCTACTTCTCCTTTGGCAGCACCACTCACCCCTACCTGGTGAACGATATCGAATAATCGATCGAATACGAGAGAGTATTGGTCTAAAATACGCCTATGCTTTCATCGATTTTCGGAGTGTATATTCACAGTATTTCCAACTGGATTTGGGATGAGGACACTCACTGCACTCCAAGCGTTGATAGGCGGCTAGGAAGAGGTGAATGAA